CCATGGCACACTCAGACTGCTCCCACCTCTTGCCCACTCAGGACACAAATGCCACATGCCATGACCATCCTGCCACAATAGAGGCTTTTTCTCCAAGTTGGACAAGAACTCAGCACCTCAAGCTTCCTCCCCAGGACTCCCCACGCCTGCACATCCCTGTGGAGCAGGGACATGGGGAAAATGCCAGCTCCACAGGAGTGGAATGATGCTCCTCCTGCAACACCAGCAAGTGGAGGTGGCTGAATTGGTGACACTGGGGTGCTCAGGCACAAGTGCCATATGCTGGGGTTTTATCATTCAGAGGCTGTGCATGGAATCCTACAGACTGAAGCCCCTTTCCCTGGGCACCACGCCAGCACTTGAGCCTGACGTGAGGACTGGGATGTCATTCCAGTGGGATGCCCATGGCACACTCAGACTGCTCCCACCTCTTGCCCACTCAGGACACAAATGCCACATGCCATGACCATCCTGCCACAATAGAGGCTTTTTCTCCAAGTTGGACAAGAACTCAGCACCTCAAGCTTCCTCCCCAGGACTCCCCACGCCTGCACATCCCTGTGGAGCAGGGACATGGGGAAAATGCCAGCTCCACAGGAGTGGAATGATGCTCCTCCTGCAACACCAGCAAGTGGAGGTGGCTGAATTGGTGACACTGGGGTGCTCAGGCACAAGTGCCATATGCTGGGGTTTTATCATTCAGAGGCTGTGCATGTAATCCTACAGACTGAAGCCCCTTTCCCTGGGCACCACGTGGGTGTGGAGTGGGGGGGGTGGGGAGGATGTTATTTTGAAATGGGTTTTTGCAGGCTGCCTCAGTTTCCCCACCTTCCTTTTAGCTGCTCATTGATGGGGAAGCTGAATTCAGGTCTCCCCCAAATGGCTTGGGACAAGTCACATCCTCCCTGCAGAGCCCTCAGAGAAGCCACCTGAAAAATCTGAGGAGAGGGAAGATGAAGAAGAGAGATTGTCTGCCCACTGGGATGGGCACAGGGGTTTCAGAGGGGACTTGTCCCTTTGCCCTGTTTGGAGCCTGGCACCAGGGCAATATCCAGCCCTCTGTGCCTGAGAGCATCTCAGAGGGGTTTCAGCTTCTCCAGGTTGCTTTAATGGGCACTGGAGAGACCCTTGGGTGGCCAAGTATCATGTTCAGGGCTGACTGAGAGGTCCTAGAGCAGATATCCATCCCTGAACCAGAGGTACTTTCCCAACCCACTCTGTCCCAAGACCCTAAATCATCACCCAAAAGAGAAGCCTCAAGTCACTTCAATAATTTTTTCCAGAGCAGGAAATAAATTCACCCACAAGAATGGGAAGTTTCAGTCCCCAAAGCTCCAACAACTGCTGAAAAAGGAGGGTTCCAAGCCAGTGGCTGAGAGCTGCACCCAGGGAACCTTCCCTGGGGAGCAAAGGGGCAGCAGGTGCAGGGCATGAGCAGCTCCAGAAGCTGGACCCTGTAAGTCTGGGTATGTACAGACTGCCCAGGATGTTCTCCACAGGTCTGTGTCCAGGTGGAACTGCAGGGACAGCCCCACAGCCCACCCACCCCCACACTGGCTGCAAGCTGAGTTTCACCAGCCATCCCAGTCCCCCCCCTCCCAGTCCCCCCAGCCTGACTGGCCCAGCACCCCCAGCCCTGCCCTACCCCCAGCCCAGCCCAGAAGGCAGCAGCCCCCTCCTTGTCATATTGAAAACAATTTTATTCATGAAAATATGCTGTACAATGCACTATACACAGTTCTTTACATGGCCACAGACACAAACTCTAATAGCACGATCCAGAAAGTTACCATTGCCTACGATAGATGCGTGGTGAGAGATGATGCCTGTCAGAGACCCCCCAGGCTGCACAGTCATAAATACCAGGGAAAAGGACCCAAAAGCTCCTTCTGAAGCAAACCTGTGGGTTATCCCCTCGAGGCCGGGCCCCCTCTCCGGGCAGGGCTGGGGGC